TGAGCCGCGGCCATCTCGGGGTCGAGCAAAAACGTGGGCCAGAAAGCTGGAGGAGGAGGAGGAGGAGGAGGAGGAGGAGGAGGAGGAGGAGGCGGCGGAGGCGGAGGCGGCGGAGGCGGAGGCGGCGGAGGCGGAGGCGGCGGAGGGGTCGAACAAAAACAGGCGCCAGAAAGCTGCTCGTCGGGATCGCTTGACGGCGCGGGCATGCGGGGGCTTGGCATTGCTCGGACGTGTGCTTGTTTTCTCGAGGACCATCCTGGACCATCGAGCAAACAAAACACGCACGAAACCGAAAAATGCACGGGAAATGGCCGTCCGAGCGATGGCGAGGGGGGTGAGGACTGTTCGCCAGAGACAAGAGCACAACTATAGCACCTGTCCAGGGGGGTGGCCGCCCCACCCTCCTTGGCTGGTGGCACATCGCTCCGGGGCATGCCTCGAGAGAGTTCCTGGACGGAGGTGCCACCAGCTCGAGGGGAGGGCGCGGCTACCCCCCCCAGCCGGTGGCAGTGGTACGGTTGTCGGAGGTGGATCGACCTCCTACCCTGACACGTCGATTAAGGAAGTGGCCGTTTTCGCTTCGCGAGAGGGCGTCGCGGCCGTCACTGTTGCGGATCCAGGTCCGCCGGCTCCGGCCCCAGGCCGTTTTCACTATAAGGGGAGGCTTGCCGAGTTTGCCTCTCCTGAGCTGTGGGGTCCTCCCGCCCCCCGAGGCGGGCGAAGGCGAGGCTGCACTCGCTCCTCTCCTCTCCTCCTCCTCCTCATAATCAGGCTCCTCAAATGCGGACCTCTACCTCCTCTCCTCCTCCTCCTCCTCCACCTCCTCTCCCTCTCATCCTCTCCTCCTCCTCCTCCTCTTTCCTCCCTCCTCTCCTCCTGCTCCTCCTCCTGAGCTGTGGGGCCCTCCCGCCCCCCGAGGCCATGCGGCTCCTGAGCGACGGCCGGGTGCAGAGCGTCGGCCTGGGCGTGGCCCGCGCGGTGCGCGAGGGCGCCCCCCGCGGGACGCCGGGCCTGCAGCGGAGCGTCGGCAGGCGCTGCGTCGGCCCTGCCGCGCGGCCGCGGGGCAGCCCAGCCGTGGTCGGGCGAGCTTTTTGTCTGGAGGGGAAAAAGCACAGAGACACAATGAATCGTCGATTCCCCAGAATATGTAGGAAAATGTGGGACGTGGGGGGGAAGACAAGAACCCAGAAAACACAGGAAATATGGGACATCTTTTTATTTGTGTATATTTCTCGGTGTGTTCCAGGGCCCCTTCATTTTGTTCCCTCCCGGCGTTCAGTCGGGCGTGTCTCTCTACAGGGGGAGTATCCAAAAATAGTTTTAAGAAATAGTCTGGGAGGGATTTGCTCTGCTATCTTCGAATATGGTTGAATATTGTTGGACTGTTTTTAATTGTTCGTCCACAATCTACCTGTAGGAGGACACGCCCGACCTGATCCTGGCGTTGTTCTTCCAACGAGATCCGAGCGCTGCAGTCTTCCAGCCCTGGGACCTCGTTTTGACGAGAGCTCCCCGCGTCCTTGCTTCCCGCTGCCCCCTCCTCCCGCCTCCGATCCCTGCATCCACACATCGTACTTCATCACCACCACCACCGCCATCATCATCATCATCATCATCATCATCATCATCATCATCATCATCATCATCATCATCATCATCATCATCATCATCATCATCATTATCATCATTACCATCAGCAGCAGCATCATCATCCCCACCACCATCAGCCGCAGCATCATCATCCCACCACCATCACCATCACCATCACCACCACCATGATAATCATCATCATCATCATCATCATCATCATCCTCATCATCCTCGCCATCACCATCAGCATCATCAGCAGCATCATCAGCACCGTCACTCTAACATCATCAGCATCTCTATCTTCACCGCCACCATCACCACCATCAACATCACCACCACCATCAACATCATCAGCAAAACCACCGTAATCATCATCATCGTCATCATAATCATCATCATCATCACCACCATCATCATCATCACCACCACCATCATCATCATCAGCAGCATCGCCATCATTATTATCATTATCATCATCATCATCATCATCATCATCATCATCATCATCATCATCATCATCACCGTCATCCGTAGTAGTGGTATCCATTTTGGCTCAAGGTGGGCACTTGGGCTCCGACCTGTTTTGGTTCGAGGATCAGTTCCCCGCGGAGGTCTTGGCCGCGTGCGCCCCCAGCCTGCTCTGCGTGCGCAGGCGCCCTCGCGCAACCCGACGCGGCGCTGCAGGGGCGGCGTCCTCGGCTGCGCGCTCGGCTGCGTCACTTACGTCTTCAACACAGGTGAGAGCCCCTGTGTCGCCCTGCGAGTGCGACCTCCGCTAGCCGCAGGCGCGCGCGGGCGCGCCACTCGGCGGTCCGCCAGGCCCAGGCGGCATCGCGGGCGCTGCGGCGCTGCTGATGCCCCTGGTGCAGGCTTCCCAGGGGCCAGTGGGAGCCGGCGCCACGCACTTGGCTGCTGGTGCCCCGCCCTTCTCGCCCAGCGTCCCGGTCGGCGCCGCCAGTACGGTACTCTTGCCTCCGTCGCCCGGCTGGGATCAGCACGGGTATGATCAGTGCGGCGGGGATGAGCCGTACATCGGGAGCGGCAGCATGAACATTTCCAGCACGACGGGATCTGCAGCGCCGCTGCAAAGCACGCGTGTCGCCAGGACGATCAGGACCACTAGTGCGAGCATGTGCAGCAGCACCAGTCGTACCATCACGACTTGGGGCCGACATTCGATAATTAATCCTGACCCTGGCCGTTGCTTGTTCTGCGGGTTGGGGGGCTCCATGTTTTTTTTTCGGGGGTGGCGAAGGGCTGCCCCGGGGGAGTAAGGGCGAGGTGTTCGACGGGGGCGTGACGCCGCGAGGTGGCGACGGCTGCGGCGTGACTCCCCTCCTGTGGAAACCCCGCTCCGTTTGATCGAGGGTTCTCTCGTGCCTGGGCCAGGGGCGGGGGATTTACTTACTCTATGTAGCCTTCTCAGGTATCCTTCTCCCCCTCCCCTCGGTGAGGGCAACCATAAGCCTTACCAGTGAGGACCGCCATAAGGCCTCACACCCCTCGCAGCTTCCATCATATGAGGCTTCGGGGGCCGGACCCAATCCCCACGAACCTGGCACCGTACGTGCAGTACCACGGAGGGCGGCCCCACCATCATAGGGGCATGCGGAGTCCCTGAAGACGGGTGGACACGAGTGGGCATCATAGCCAGCCCAAAACCAAAAGAGGCATCATAGCTTCCTATCCGCAAAGGGCTTCGCCCCCTGCCGCCAGCCCCCTCTCTCGGAGAATGGGCCATGGAAGTGCGAAGTCATGAGGCTTTGGCTTCGCCGTGAAGCAGTGTCGGGACCTGCTTGTTTTTCGACCCTGACCCTACGGATCTGCGTGAGGGGTGACGCCGAATTTCAGGAATGTGGCAAATCCATTGTGTTTTGTGGACACTGACCCTACGGATCTGCGTGAGGGGCGCCGCCGAATTTCGGAAATGTAGCAAATCCCGTCTGTTTTGGACCCTGACCCCGCCGATCTGCGTGAGGGGTGCCGCCGAATTTCAGACCAGTGGCACATCCCTTGTATTTTTGGACCCTGACCCTGCCGATCTGCGTGAGAGGTGCCACCGAATTTCAGAAATGTGGCGCATCCCATATGTTTTCGGACCCTGACCCCGCCGATCTGCGTGAAGGGTGCCATCGAATTTCAGACAAGTGGCAAATCCCATGTGTTTTTGCACCCTGACCCCGCCGATCTGCGTGAGGGGTGCCATCGAATTTCAAACATGTAGCAAATCCCATATGTTTTTTTGACCCTGACCCTACGGATCTGCGTGAGGGGGTGCCAGGAATTTCAGGAATGTGGCAAATCCATTGTGTTTTGTGGACCCTGACCCTACGGATCTGCATGAGGGGTGCCGCCGAATTTCGGAAATGTAGTAAATCCCATATGTTTTTTACCCTGACCCCGCCGATCTGCGTGAGGGGGTGCCAGGAATTTCAGAAATGTAGCAGATCCTATGTTTTTTTGACCCTGACCCCGCCGATCTGCGTGAGGGGTGCCGCCGAATTTCAGACCAGTGGCACATCCCTTGTATTTTTGGACCCTGACCCTGCCGATCTGCGTGCCGATCTGCGTGAGGGGTGCCACCGAATTTAGAAATGTGGCGCATCCCATGTGTTTTTGGACCCTGACCCCGCCGATCTGCGTGAGGGGTGCCATCGAATTTCAGACAAGTGGCAATTCCAATGTGTTTGTGCACCCTGACCCCGCCGATCTGCGTGAGGGGTGCCATCGAATTTCAAAAATGTAGCAAATCCCATATGTTTTTTGACCCTGACCCTACGGATCTGCGTGAGGGGTGCCACCGAATTTCAGAAGTGTAAATCCCGTATGGTTTTGACCCTGACCCCGCCGATCTGCGTGAGGGGGTGCCCGGAATTTCAGAAATGTAGCAGATCCAATGTTTTTTTTTTACCCTGACCCCGCCGATCTGCCTGAGAGATGCCGCCGAATTTCAGACCAGTGGCAAATCCCATGTGTTTTTGGACCCTGACCCCGCCGATCTGCGTGAGGGGTTCCACCGAATTTCAGAAAAGTGGCAAATCCCATGTGTTTTTTGACCCTGACCCCGCCGATCTGCGTGAGGATCGGTCGATGTTTAGGGGAACAAAAGGTGACATAAACATAAAAACTCGGAGGTCCGCGCGGATTTCTCGGATCGGCGCTGGGGCTCCCCGGCGGCGCCTCCGGCGCCGCCCCTGGCGCGCTCCGCGCGCCAGGGAGGGGGGTCCAGTGCGGATCCGAGAAATCCGCGCGGACCTCCGAGGTTGTATGTTTATGTCACTTTTTGTTCCCCGAATGTTGGACTATCTGACGTTTCGGAAGCGGCCGATCGTTCAAGGTTGAGTGATCACGGGGGTGTCAGGAGCCAGCGCCAGGGTCGTCATGGCACGAACCTGCCCCAGCGTGCCGCGCTGGCGGCCTGCGTAAGCCGCCATCGATTTCCCAAGGTTGCCCTTGCATCCTTGCCTCCTGGGTCCATCCTCTCGAAAAGCTTCGACGTTCGCGCCCAAGGCCCTGGCGTCCTCACCGCGTATCCTTACTGTCAGGGTTGACTGCATGCCAGCTCGCGTAAGACCCGTTCTGGGTCGTCGCCCAGATGCCCCCCGCAGGAGCCTGCGCCAGCGGCGGGTGCAGATCCGCCAGCTGCGCGAGGAGCTCCTGCCGGAGGCGCTCGCGCGCGGCGGCGAGGCACCGCCGCGCCCGCGCTGCCGCCAGATGCAGGGAGCAGCGGTATCGGTGTACTTTTTGGTATCGTTTAACCGATCCCCATCCCCTCCCATCCTCATCCAGGCCCCCAGCACCTTTGCACCCCAGTTGGGGACGTATGCCTCGAAACCCGAAGGGCACGGCCTACATCCCCATCTAGGGGGTCAATCGGCAATTGAGGCCCAGGCCATGTTCATGGAGATAGCGGTCGGTTCAACGATGCGAAACATTTTGGTTTGCCCAACGGGAGGGCCGCGATCTTCTGGCAGGAAGTTGTAGGGCAAGCCGTGCGGAGGCCGTGGAGGCTGGAGCCCCAGCGCTCGAAGTGCTTCGTCTGTCCGCGCTGGGGTGCTGGATGCGGAATGAGCAGGTGGGCTGGAGTCGACATGCTCTCCTGTCGGCCTACCGTCTCGGGAGCCGGTCGAGGTCTGCGTGGACGGGGTGGACGGGGGTCGTCGGTGCTGGGCGGTTGGGGAATTGGCGGTGGATCGTTGTCACTCGGAGGCGGGCTGCCTGGAGGTGGATGGTCTTGAGGCGGATCCGAAGCCTCGTTGGGTAGTGGTTCATATTCTTCTCTCTCAGGTGACAAGGGTTCCGCAACACTGGCGCCTTTTTGGAGTGATCCCATGTGTTGGGCGGCGAGGGGTTGGTAGGGATGGGGGTGAGGGAATGGGAACGGCCCGGCCGGTTTCACGCTGTTGCTGCAGGTCGCCAGTAGATCTCTTGTTAATCCACGTGCTTCAAGGGCAGCGAGAGCGTGTTCTTAGGTTAAATCGGGGGAGTCTTGATAACATGTCCGAAACGATTATGGCCAAACATCTTGCTGGGGCCCCTCAGATCTCCAAATCACCCGACATGACATGACATAGCGATGAGTCCGATGACTCGGCCGCCCCCCGACTTCTTGCCGACTAGGCGCCCGACGATGGCCATGGCCTTTCATGGCCAGGACACGCCCTCCTCGATTATGGTATGCAGCCGACGCAACTCTTGCAAAGCCTCGCCTGGCAGACGCTGAACATGCAAGGGTGAAATGCGATCTACTCCAAGCCCAGTTTTTGCCGTCATGCGGCCCAGTGCCCGCCGCAGGTCACATGCCTCCAACGGTACTAAGCCTTCGGCTCTGGCCTGGGCCCGATTAGTATCACAAGCATGCTGCAGCGCCTGATAAGATAATGCATCTGACTTCCAGAGCTCATGCCGCCACGAGACCTTGCCATCAATCGTGTCAACTGGATGCGCGCAGCCTTGCTGTCCAACACGCACGTCCTATATACTGAGCAGTGGATCCTCGATGCCGCGATGAACAACTCCAATGTGTTGAGCGGTGCCAATCCACACTTTGAACTCACGAAGTGACAGATTGGCCGCACGATTCTGAGCACACTTGGCAATCTTCGGAAAGAACGCGCCTCCAAACTCCTGAGACCATCCGCCGGAGCACCTCGAATACTGCGAAGTCGCTCTCGAAGTGGTGCGCGCGGACCGTGGCCAGCTGACCGAATGTCGTCGATTCCGTCGGCGGCACAGTCTGCCAGCCTGCCCGCAGACCAGCACGGGCGTCTTCAGTCTGTGGCCGCCCGTCGGTGCGCACGTTGCTCCGCCAGGCTGCCACAGAATCACGCAACGGCCGGGCCCCGATGCGCTGTGCCTGGTGTGCGGGCACGACGTGCCATTGAAACCCGTGCACTCTCGAAGTGCCCGGAGGCTCGACCTGACGACGCGTCGAGACAGCGTTCTGCTGCGGGCACGCAGGCCCCGTGCTTACCTGTGACCCCCTTCCGGTGAAACGATAACGCTTCCGGCACCTTGGAAGCGTTACCTCGGCACCAGGAGGGCCTCCAGAGGGCATTCAGGGCCTTGCAAAACTCTGCTGAGCACCGCTGGGCCCTGCCAAGCACCGACCGACGTAGCGGTAGGACACGCTGCCAGTGCGGAAGGGGGCCTGGCGCACACAAACACGCACACACACAGGCACGCACACACACACACACACACACACACACACACACACACACACACACACACACACACACACACACACACACACACACACACACACACACACACACACACACACACACACACACACACACACACACACACACACACACACACACACACACACACACACACACACACACACACACACACACACACACACACACACACACACACACACACACACACACACGCACACACGCGCACACACACATACACACACCCATTCACGCTCATTTGGCGCCACCGATTGGTAGTTTGTTTGTTATTTGCGCGCGGTGCTAAAGATATCGCTCCGCAAAAATGCCCCTGTGGCATATGTAATAATCTTGCGATGCTTAAATCACCCTGGGGGGGGGTCTTAGATACTTTTCGCGTTTCGATGTAAGGCAACAACGCGCGAGGTATTCTTGCGGCCAGATTTCGTTTGCTCTTATAGCCAGTGCATCGTGCAACGCGTTTTTCAAACGTTCAGCCCCGTTCCCCCCTGCGCGGTCGAAGTCGACAGACATGTGTTGCGTGCGTCAATGCGCGCGTCTTTCATGCGAGGATCGCTTCCCGTGCTTCGCTTGCCGTGCAGGGCCTTCTGGAAGTTGTTCGACTCGCTTTGCGGTCGTTGCGCGCTGTGCAGGTCTCGTCGGGAAGCACCCCTCGATTTTGCATTTGTGCTTGAGGGTTGCCGCGCTTGGCTCTTTTTGCGCGTGCCAGTTGAAGTCTGAGCGGAGTCCGCTTCAACGGATAATTCCTTCCTGCCTCCTTCCCCCTCGGTCATCTCGGCCTCTTACAACCTGCGTCTTCTCTCCCCGGCCCCATGGCCGCCAGAGCGTTTCGAAGTTCGAGCCCCGAAGATCGATGTCCGAAGTTGTTTGGCGTTCGGGGCCCCTGCTCGTCGCCGCGGCGGGACGCAGCTCGAACAACTGGTGCGCCTGGGCCCCTGGAGGCAGGGGCCTGGGGGCATCGTTAGCCAGTGGAAGAACTGCTACTCGGGTCGGCATTTGTTTCCTGTTCTGGTCTGGGAAATTTCAGGCGTGACATCTCGCAGGAAACCGCATGCCGACATGAAGCGACGGGCTGTTTTCATCGCCTCGGCGCGCAGGCGGGCCTGTGGTCTCGGGTGAGGAGGCCTCGCGGCGCCCGGGGCTCGCGGGAAGGGGGGCTTGGAGGCGCCCTGCCCAGGGGCCTTGCGGGTCCTGTCGGCGCTCTCCTGGGCCGTCTGCCGGGTGTCGTGGTGCGTCCAGGGGCCACACTGGGCCGACTCTACGGCCGCCCAGGGCCGCCGTTGATGCATCTCGGGCCACCTTGCTATCGGAAGCGCGGGCCCATGGCATCTTGCGAGGGGTCGCCGCCACTGTAGCGCGGCGAAGCTGCTTCCTAAACGGAACAGGTCCGTCGGGGGGGGGGGCGCGGCGTCGTGTTGTTCGGGGGGGGGGGGTGTTAGAATAGTGCAGAAACCGCATGGAACAGTTGCCTGGCATTATATTGCGGTGGTGCGGCGCAGGCACGGCGGCGGATACAAAGTGGATCCTGCGTGTCGCACACGCGGGGGTCGCCTGGGATATCGCTGGCCCATTGCTGGAGAGTGGGCGAGCCGATTGGAGAGTTTAGGCCAAAGCCTTCCCATAGCTCTTCGATTTGAAATTGTAAAACTAGTTGTCATTGAAGTCAGACCTGCTACAGCTATATGTCGGAGATGCGGTGCCCTTGCACTTGCGGGCCCACTCGCTGCGAGTGGGCCCACCCCCTTGCACGCGCGCCTCCACGAGCCCGATGTACTGAGAACCTCTGCACAGGCTCGGCCGACGAAGTGAAAGGCCAAGTCTTCTTGCCCAGGCCGCAGTCATCGCGCTCTGCCCCGGCGGGCGTCTCTTCCTCGGCCTTCCACGGCGGACCTCCCGTGGCCGAGGCCGGCGGCTGCTCGATATGTGCGCCGCCGGCGGCGCCGCGAGGCCGCCGACGACAAGCCGCCTTCGCAGCTCCTCGTCGTCCTCCTCCTCCTCCTCCTCCTCCTCCTCCTCCTCCTCCTCCTCCACTTCCTCCTCCTCCTCCTCCTCCTCCAGTTTTCGGCTCGCGAGGAGCTGCCTCCCCCTTGGGCGCCTGCGGGGCAGGCGAGGGGATAGGCTCCTGGCGCGCGCCGAGACCAGCGCTCGCGACGGCGGCTCCGCGGGAGGCTGCCGCCCATCATCGAGCGCGACTACAACGCAGGGAGGACAGGTTCCTCCTCCACGCCTGGTCGGGGCGCACGACCCCTGCGCTGGTAGCCAGGCTGCGTGGCGCGGCCCAGCGGTTGGACGCCCATCACGGCTCCTCTGCAGGGGCGATGGCGCCTGCACCGCCGCAGGCGAGAGTGCTGCGTGGCCCCCGAGAGCCTGTCTGGGGATGCCAGTGTGGGAAGGACAACAACTGGGCCTGCCGCATCGTGTGCTCCTGCGGGCGGCAGGCTTCTCAGAAGGTCATCAACGCTGCCAAGAAGGCGGACCAGGAGGCGCGGAACAAGAAGCCCTCGCAGAGAGCAGGAGGCACAGGGTTCGTGCGGAAGCCTGCCCCGTGGTCCAAGGAGAGCGGCCTCACGGAGAAGCAGATCCGCGAGCTGGTGCAGCAGTGCATCTCCCAGCACGCGGGCAGCACCAAGGGGCCCCCATCGCCTACGGCACCAGCGTCATCAGGAGCGGGCGCCGGTTGCAAGGAGCAGGCGCAGCACGTGCAGGGTAACATCCAGCAGCGCACGGAGCTCCAGGCGAAGATCAACTTCCACGAGAAGAGCCTCAAGGAGTGCAAGATCGTGGAGGCAGAGGGCGGCCCAATTCACCTCCTGCACCAGCGGGCCCTCGACGTCCTTCGGCAGCAGGCGCGTGAATTGCGCCCCCCAGGCGCTGCTTACAAGGCCTCGTCCCAGAAGCTCGCGCGGTGCATGCAGCAGCTGGACCGCTTCACGAGCGACCTGCAGGGCCTGGAGGCGCAGCTGGAGGCTACCCAGCGCAAGATCCAGGATAAGCAGGAGGCCACTGCGGCTAAACAGGCTGAGGTGGAGGTCCTGCGCAAGGAGAATGCGAAGCACGAGCAAACCATGCAGGCTGCACGTGGTGAGAAGCCCCACCCAGTCATCAAGGAGGAAGACTTGGTTGGCTTCGACCTCGCCGAGCAGCTCGACGACAATGGCGCGAAGGAGGCCCTCGAGCAGTTCAAGGCGAGCCCCCACTTCGGCAAGATCCAGGCGGCCCTCCGCAAGCAGGCGGCGGAGAAGCTGGCTACGGTCATGGCTGAGGAACCTGGTGTTCATGCTCTTCATGCTGAGGGCGGTGGCGCAGGCGCAGCAGACGGACCGCCAGCTCGGGATGACGATGACATGGACGACGAAGACGCCGACGGCGACGCACAGCCTCGAGGAGGCGATAAGCGCGGAGCCGCCTGGGTGGAGCTGGCCAAGGATGACGTCGGCGCCCTCTGGCAGCAGCTCCTCAGCAGCGGACAGCAGCCCACGGACTGGACCAAGGAGAAGCTGGACGACGCCTTCACGCAGGTCCAGCACAGCAAGCACCGCAGGACTGCCGAAGGCTCCCTGGGCACAGGCACGATGCCTGGGTAACCCGCCCCTGGTCAGCGGGCTACTGGCTGCCAGCGCTGGCGCCAAGCAGCTACACGTACCAGCAGCGGTCACCATCACGCACACCTTCGAGACCTTCAACGCCAACCAGGGAAAGCTAACCCTCCAGAAGCGGCTGAGAAGGTCAACAGCAATGGTCATCATGGCTCAGGAGATAGGCTACGGCATCGATGACTGCGAGAGCCTCTCTTCTTGGGCAACGGCGCGCGGCTGGCAAAGCCTCATCGTGCCAGGGCTGCCCTCGCGAGGGTACCTCCCCTCCGCAGGCCTGGCAGTCTTCGCCAGGGAGGGGATCGGGCTGCGCGGGCCCACTTACCCTGGCGAGGCCCCGCCCAGACGTGCAGGCAGCGTCAACGAGACCATTGCGCACGGCACCGAGCTCGTCCGTGGCAGGGCTCAACACGTCGTCGTGGAGCTGCCGAACTGGCCGCCGCTCAACGTCGTCAACGTGTACCTCCACACAGGGGGGGGCACGAGCAGCCGCAACGCAAGTATACTCATGACGGTGGGGCTCGCGCTTGCGGGCCAGGCGCACCCTGGCATCATCGGCGGTGGCTGGAACATGGACGTGCAGGTTGTCAAGAACTCCGGCTTCCCCGTGCACGCGCAGCTGGAGATGGTCACCCCGAGGCGCGTGACCGGCAGGACAGCGGCGTCGGTGTCAACCATCGACTACTTCGGGCTGACCACGGGAGCCATGCGCATGCTAGCTGCACGCAACGCAGACTTGACCTGGTCGGTAAAGCCGCATCGACCAGTTCAGCTTCAACTGACAGCGGAGGGCACCAAGCTCAGGTACCTCACCTACGTAGGCGGTGCGAAGATGCCAGCGCAGATTGTGCACGGACCTTTCCTCGAGGAGAGCAGCTGGTCCCTGGAGCGCAGCTTCGCTGAGCAGGCGCTGAGCATGGCCAAGGAGGCGCCTGCTGCAGTCGCCTGGCGTTTCCTCTCGAAGGCTTGGGGCAGATGGGCGACCAGGGCAGCCTCGAGGCTCGGGCACCTCACTGGTACGGAGACGCGGGCCAGCGCCTACGCGCGTCCGCTCCAAGCCAAGTGGGTCGAGCGTGAGCACCAGGTCCTCACGGAGGATGAGGTGCAGGCGGTCGCGGATGGATGGAAGTGGCTGCAGGACTGCCTGGCGGGCCTCATCACCGCAAAGGCGAACGCCTGGACACCCGAGGGCCGACAGTTTCTCAGTGTAGACTACTGCGGGCAGAACCTCAGCGCGAGGCTCGACGCATCAGTTCGGCATGCTCGGCAGATTGCGCAGAGGAGTTTCAGCAGTGAGGACATCATGACCTTCTCGGAGGAGATCGACGAGGACGTTAACTTTGCCATGCAGCTAGCGAACAAGGAATCTTCGAGGCGCTGGAGAGAATGGTGTGACGGGGCCTGTGCGGGCGGAGCGGGGAAGCTCCACAAGGTCACTCGCGCGCGAGCAGTTCAGGCCCCCACCACGGTTAACGACTCGGAGAACGGCATCACAGGGCACCCGCACTTTGTAGTCAAGGATATGGAGGATACGCACGCAGCGCTGTGGAAGGCGGTGAAGGAGCCTCCCCAGGCGTGGATTCCTGATAGGTCTACCCTCGCACGGCCATCACCAGAGGAACTTCGGCGCGCCTCCCGTACCTTCAGCATCAAGACCTCCAGCAGCCTGGACGGCCTCCACCCCGCGCACTTAGAGCACCTCAGCGATGACGCGTTGGAGGGCCTGTGCGACATCATGCTGGCCTGCGAGGCGCTGGGCCTCTTCCCTGTCCAGCTGACGTGGATGGTGATGCCGATGCTGCCCAAGGCCGCTGGAGGCCACCGTTTGATCATCCTATACTCCATGGCCTACAGAGTCTGGCAACGACTACGTAAACCGGCCCTCCTACCTCTGCAAGAGGCCCTGCGAAGGCCCTATTGGGCGGCTGCCAAGAACAGGAGCGCGGTCGACAGCGCCTGGATCCCGGCAGCGGATGCGGAGCAGAATGAGAGGCAGGGCGGCACACGGCCACCATCATTGCTGACTACAGCAAGTACTACGAGCTGATTCCCCTGGACGAAGCAAGGGACAAGCTGCTGAGGCTTGGAATGCCCTTGGCGATGGTAAAAATTGTGTACAACCAGTGGAGAGGACCACGAGTGATACGTCTCCACCAGCATCACGGCGCGCAGCCACGGCATGCAAAGTTCGGCCTCCCAGCAGGCGATGGCTACGCAGACGTGGTCATAAAGGCGCACGCCATCGAGCAGTACGATATCTACGTCACGCTCCACCCGCTGGTAAGGTTCGCGTCCTACATTGACGACACCTCCCTCGGTATCAATGGAGCCACCAAGGAGAGTGTCATCCTGCAGGCGGTCGAGGCGGGCAATGCCTTTTTCAATGTGGCTAAGAAGCTCGGCGCCCGTATTAATGATAAGCTTGCTGTGGTGGCCAGCTCAAATGATATTGGGAAGGAAGTGGTGCGGCAGCTGCAACTTCCTACTGACATGAATCGCAGTCGGGCGACCTACCTGGGCACTGACTTCGCGGGAGCACGGAGGAGGCGAGGGAAGCTCCTCCGCGCCAAGCAGCAGGCACGCCACAAGATCTACAAGCAGAGGCTGCGCAAGCTGGGGCGATTCAGACATCGACTACCAGGACAGCAGACGCAGCGCACGGCCAAGATATTCCGAGCTGGAGCTCGACCTGCGGCCACCTTCGGCGTGGAGATCACGGGCCTCACCGACAGGGAGCTCCACAAGCTGCGAACAGACTTCGACAAGTTCCGCAAACCCTGTCATGGGGGCGTCTCGGCCTCGGCCAAGGTGGTGCTACTGGGCGACCCCACAGTGGCGATTGCGATGGCGCCAGTGCTGCAGTGGTCGCGGATGGTCTGGATGGCAGTATCGCAACCTACTCAGGCACCAGTACCTCTGGCACTACTTACGACGTGGTGGCGCAGAGCGGTGGAAGTACCTGGGGTATGCAGCTCGTGGGGAGCTACCCGTGGGCCTCTCCAACGAGCTGCCCTCTCGCTGGCGCGGGCAGGCTGGACAGCAACCTCGGCACTGAGGTGGCGTAACCATCGAGGGGATCAGGTATTTGTGGAGCAGCTCACCCCAAGCTTAATGCTCCAGATGTTGCAGCAAGGCGTTCAATGTCAGCATGAGCGAGACCTAGCGGGCAAGATTGGCCTTGGTGAGGGCAAGCGTGCCACTTTCGACATCCTAGCCCCCCTGGTCTCCATGCGCAGCAAACGGTACACGGCGCACCAGAAGTTCTGCATCATGAATGTAGCGCGCAGTGGAGTCTGGACAAGGATGAGAGCCCAACAGCGTGGATACAACACGGATGGTAGGTGTCCCTGTGGAGCTCCCGACTCGCTGGTGCACCGACTTCTTGATTGCACAAGACCTGAAGTTCAGCAAGCTCGAGCTGATGCAGAGGTCCCACAACATTTCCTCGACGGGCTACGCATGCATGCAGATGAGCCTGGTTTTATTGAGGGTATGTTTGGATATGCGTGTGCTGATGTCCCGACAATGAGTTTGGGCACTACCAGCGTCATACTTGACGGCCAAGGAGTCCCAGTACCAGATGAAGAATGTCAGGAGCCTGAGCAGATGGCAGCCTGTTTCCTCAGGGACGACGATGCTAGTATGGAGATCGCTACTGACGGCTCGTGCACCAAGCCGCCCATCAAGGAATTCCAGCGAGCAGGATGGAGCCTCGTCCTGCTGGACCCCCGCTCAGACATGCCGCTGGCGTCCATGCACGGAGCAGTACCCGCATCCTTACCCCAAGAGTCTGCCGTCGGAGAGCATCTAGCGGCAGCCTTCGTGTCTCAGGTTGCAGACCGACCCTGCACCGTCCACGCCGACTTCAAGGGCGTCATCCATCTGGGCAACAAGCAGAAAGAGCTGCAGCTGAAGGCCAGGACCCCCTATGCGTGCATCGCCCACTTCGCGCAGTCGCTCGACGGCTTCACGCGCGTGCAGCAGTGCGCCCACGTCAAAGCGCACCGCTCTGGGGACGGGTACGCAGCGCTCTCCGACAGCCAGAGGAGGATAACGGACGCGAGCATTGTAGCGGACCGCAGGGCCAAGGAGGCAGCGGCGATCCACCCCGCCCCCGAGCTGCAGGTAGTCGAGGAGATGCAGAAGGGCGTAGACAGAATAAGCCAGTTAGCGAAGCTGATCGCCCACGTCATGCCCATCTTCGACAAGGACGACCAAATCAGGTGGACCAGGAGGGCACCGACCTGGCGGCGAGCAGCGAGCACAAGGAAGGCAACATGGCACCAATGGCAAGATGGCGAGCTGGGCGCGCAATGCATCACCTGCTTACAGTTGCACATGCCTGGGCAACCGCTCCCCCTCACGGGGTGCCCTGGGACGCCCACTTTCCTGCTGGGCCATCGGCGCAAACCCAATGGCCACAAGCTGGTCGCGGTCAACCAGAAGGGCACCTTGGAGAGCGACGGGCAGGACACCTACAGGCCAGTGTTCATCTGTGTCAAGTGTGGGGCTTGGGCGCTGCAGCGGCGCAAGGCCAAGTTGCGACAGCCCTGCGCAGTCGCCACTACCAAGGGCCTCGAGGTCCTCCACAACCTGAGGCGTGGCTTCGGTCCCTTCAAGAAGCTGAAGAAGTTCATCGACAGCACCACCCCTCTTCGACGGCTGGAGACGACAAGCGAGGTTCACACCACTTTCACGAAGGTTGACATCCTCAGTGGCACGGACGGGGCAGTGCCTGAGGCAGGTTTTGAGAGCAGAATGGCTGCACTTCACCAACGAGTGCGTGAAAGGGCACAGTCCTGGTGTGACGAGCAGGAAGGGAGGAACACCATGTTCGGACACGCGATGGCCAGAGGAGATTTCCAGCAGGCGGCAGTTCGCGGAGCTCGAAGGGATAGGCGTGCTGGGGCACGACTCAGGGGAGCCCAAGGAGCTGCTGCTGCTGGGAGGCCCAGTGCCGCCGCCAGCACGGGACCGCGCCGCAAGACCACGCAGTGCGTCATCTCCTCGGCCGCGGCGGACAGCGTGGAGCACGTCGCGGAGTATGCTGCTGCTGGGGCTGCTGGCGCGGGGGCGCTGCGCGGCTCGGCGGCGGCTTTCGACGGCTCGGGCGCGCTGGGCGCACAGTACGTGGGCGCGCTGGGCGACGACGAGCACGACACTCAGGAGGTAGCAGCCTCGGAGGCGCTCGGCCTGGAGAAGGACTCCTTCGACGGCTCGGCCGCGCTGGACGTCGCGGTCGAGGGCGCGCTGGGCGACGACGAGCACGACGCCGAGGCTGCAGCTGCTGCGGAGGCGCTCGGCCTAGCGATGGGCCTCGGCAGCTCGGGCGCGCTGGACGACGGCCTCCTGGGCGCGCTGGGCTTCGGCGCTGAGGCGGCTGATGCTGGGGAGGCGGGCAGATCGCTGGCGGTCGTCGACGGCTCGGACGCGCTGGGCGTCGACACCAAGGGCGCGCTGGGCGACGCGGAGCACGACGCGGAGGCTGCAGCTGCGGGGGCGGCGGACTGCCTTTCGGCGGGCGCCGACGGCTCGGACGCGCTGGACGTCGACCCCGTGGGCGCGCTGGACGACACCGCGCACGACGCCGAGGAGGCTGCTGCGGGGGTGGCGAGCGGCTCGGCCGCGGCCGGTGGCGTGTCGGGCGCGCGGGACGGCCACGCCGCGACGGCACTGGGCTCGCTGGGCTTCGCCGAGCGCGTCGCCCGCCTCCTGGCGGCGGCTGGCGCGCGTGGGCAGCAGGCCCCTGGCGCAGCCGCACCCAGCCTGGACGAGCGCGACGGCGCCATTGCCTCGGCCGAGCTCGAGGGCAGCGGGCGCGGCGCCGAGGCAGCAGCAGCGGGGGCGGTGTGCAGGCCGTGTGCCACGTACCCCCCTCTGCGCCACGGGCCTGCCTGGGAAAGTGTCCCCGCCCTCGGCGGTTGGCCAGGGCCCTGGGATCCTCGGGCCGCACCGAGCGTACGAGGGCAAGGACGTGGGCAAGGTGGCGGCCTCGGCGGCCGCGTGGCCGCGCTGGACGGCGGCCGCCGTGCCTCGCTCGGCGGCCTCGAGCACGGCGTCGAAGCTGCCGCTGCTGCTGCGTCGCCGCGGGCGGAGCGGGCCAGAGCCGACTCCGAGGAGTCGAGGGAGGGCGCGGTGGCCAGGGCTGCGGCTTTCAAGCAGCTCGTCGCGCTGGCGCAGAGGTCGTGAGGCCCGTCGGCCAGTACGTGCTCCTCATCTGAGGAGGCTGGCCAGGCGGCCGAACCCTGACCTCAGGGCTTGTCATCATCATCCTCCTCCTCCTCCTCCTCCTCCTCCTCCTCCTCCTCCTGCTCCTCCTCCTCCTCCTCCTCCTCGGCCCGCCGAGAGTATGATCTTACCAACCCGGCGGGTTCGCTCGCATGGCCGTCGCGACCGCGGCCTCGGCCGCTCCCTTGCCGCGCGGGTGCGAGCCCTCTCGCGCTCCACCCTGCGGCGGCGGGCGGGGGAGGGAAGTTGAAGAGCGGGTCTTCTCGGAAGACCTTGCGCCTTCTGAGAGAAGTGTTTTTTTGCTCTGCCTTCGGGGAAGGGCGCAGGACATGTCCCAGAAGGCTGGGGGCCTTCCGAGCCCTCCGAGAAGGCCCGCCCCTTCTTCCCACCTCCCCCGTCGTTCGCCGCCGATCCTCGGCGTCCGTCGGCTCAGCACCCCCGCCCTGTGGCGCCGGTGGCGCTCCGGGTGCCGTGCCTGAGGCTCCTTGCCCGCCAGCGGGGCTGGCTACCGCGAGAGGGCGCTGTCTCCATGATGAACTTGTCTTCCACCACCACTGCCAGGGGTTAGGAGAGGGAGGGAGGAGGAGGAGGAGGAGGAGGAGGAGGAGGAGGAAAAGGAGGAGGAGGAGGAGGAGGAGGAGGAGGAGGAGGAAGGAGGAGAAGAAAGAGGAGGAGGAGGAGGAGGAGGAGGAGGAGGAGGAGGAGGAGGAAAGGGAGGAGGAGGAGGAAGAGGGGGCCCGCCAGGGTCCGCCGTCCTCCTGTTCTTGCTGGCCGTGCGCTCGTCGACGAAGCGCTGGAGTTCCGTGTGCGACGCCTTCCACGTCGCACTCTCGGCGGACTTCGCGGCAAAGTGATTGCGGCTTCGCATCCTCGAGATGCTTCTCAAACTGACGCAGAGTGGTCTTCTCCTCCGAGCTAGACTCCATGCGGTTCGGGTGAGTCGAAACAGTCAGGGTCCCGTTGCAGAGTGACACCGTCCGCGGCCTCCGACGGCGAGGTGTCGGTGCCTGCGGTTCCCTTGCCGTCCACGGCGCCTGTGACTGATGCAAGAGTTCGTGCTGCTACCTTCCTGTGGAGCTCCGCCCTGGCCAGGATTCAGAGAGTCTCCGTCTCCTTCTGCTCGGTTTGCTCCAGGTTGCTGCAGCCTGCTGACAGCGGAGCGGTGCGTCTCTCCATGCCCCATTCGGCCTCCCGAGCCGCTTCATCCTGGAGCTGCCGTCGGCTCCTGGGCCTTCACGTCCAGGGTCCTCCTGGGCCCGGGATCCGTCGCGAGGGCAGGCGCCTGGGTCAACATGCCCTGCGCTGGGACCCGCTGTCCAGACTTCTCGACGAGAGCGGCGGCGGAGCTCGAGGCCTGATTGTTGCCGTTGGCCTTCTGCCCACCTTGCCCCCCCCCCCCCGTGCAACTTCACCTTGCACGAACATTTGCGGCACACGCACTGCGCCTCGTAGGCGCCGCACGTCTTGCAAGTGTTCCACGCCCGTCGTGCGAGTATTGCAGGCGCCATGAAGCCTTCCCTCAGCCAACAGGATTGGCCACGGGCGAAAGTGGGACGCCTGCTGCCTCTCAAGCGTTGTGTGACAGCGAGGGGCCTCGGGTTCGAGGCCGCAGCAAGATGGTGCGCTCGGGCCAACATGTCACTTGCGAGGCAGGGAGGGAGGGGATACGAGGAGGAGGAGGAGGACGGAGAGGGGAGCGGGCCTGCCCGCCGCCTGTTTTGCTGCCTGCCTGCCTGTCTGCCTGCCTGTCTGTCTGCCTCTCTGCTGCCGCCTGAGGCCCCGCCTTCCTGTGCCCTGTCTCCCTCATGAAAGCTGTGCGTAGCCCGCCTAGCTTTTAGCGGAAGAGGCTCGCTCTCGCCCCGCAGATCAAAAATTGTCTGCCTCTCTGTCTGTCTGGCTGTCTGCGTCGTCGTGGTCGCGCTCGTCGTCCACGCGGATTCGCTCTCAGGCCTAGACTCATGATGTTCCAAGCCTTGACCGCCAGGAAGAATTTCGAGCACCAGAACAGTACCCACAAACTCGAGGGTTTTTACGTGTCGAGACCTGGGGGGCACTCGGCCGACGTCGTTTCGACACTCTTTCGACACCTTTCCAGGTGCTCGAAACTATTCCTGGGACGTGGTCCTCAGGTACGATGGGAGCATCATAAGCCTAGACGCCCATGGCAATTTAGTCACGTTTCATGTTGTAGTGGTGGCCCGTTCCCCAGCACTGACGGACGGCGATGCTCGTCGCGCTGCTGCTCGCGGCGGCGGCCGGTCCCGTCAGCGGCGTCGCGCTCCGCGAAGGGAGCGTCGACCGCACGGAGCCGCGGCGCCCTGGCAGCCCTGCCGGCAAGCCGCGGGTGCTCTTCTTCGTCACGACGTACGCGTCCGACGAGCACATGTCGTACATGAGGTGCCAGGCGGAGCTCTACAGGCGCGCGCCGAGGCTGAGGGAGACAGACGCACTCCTGCACGTCGGAGAGGACGAGGCGTCCACAGCGAGGCGAGCCCGGGAGTGTCACACGGACGCCTGCGTGCACTCCAGCCGCGCGGCATGGCAAGAGCTGTTGAACGCGTGGCCCATGCCTACCAAGATGCTGAAGTTCTCCCGCAATCCGGGCAAACAGCCTGGTGCGAAGAAGGCGATGCACGATGCCCTCACCTCTGGCTGGTTTTGGGGGTATGACTGGGTGATACGCACGAACCCGGACGTGATCTTTTATGATGATAGTCGTATGTTCTCTCTCATGGAGCGTCCGCAGAATTGGGCAGTGGTCATGAAGTGCGGCAACACTCAAACCAACACGGATTTTTTCGCGGTTCGTCCGGACCGCTTGCCAGTAGACGCATTCTCGGAGTGGAATTCAACAACCCCCGACGCCGAAGGGCAGGCGAACCAGGCGTTCCGGCAGATTTATGAAGAGGGCGCTTACGCTTTCCTGAAGCCCGAGGGCCACCAATCTGGATGCCACCTAAAGGACGGAGGCGTGTACCACGCCCACGCCGATCCGACGTGCGAATTGGTGCTGGACCGACAAGGATGGCAGCAGTCTTTCAAGGGCGGCATCAAGGATTACCAACACAGGGGCGCACTAGTACCAAATCCTTGGCAAGAGGCTTGGCGGCTTGGCTCTGAGGATGACGGACGATGATTGAGATGATCTCGATTTTCACCCAGCCTTGGAAATCAGCTTCCTTAAACGGCAGTCCTCGCACCGACAGCGATTGCGATGCACAATCAGGGACCTCGGGGATCGGGCTGGCGGCCTCTTAGTTCTAGTGCTCCTCGCGACGTCACTCGAACAGGGCCACTCATGGTCACTCATGGTTTGAAAGCTCCTCGATTGCTTTTTCCATCCACAGGGACTTCTGGGATCTCAGAAGCACAACGTCTACCCCATCCGCCATTTCGGCCCCTCCCCTCCCTCCTTCCCCCCGCTCCCTCCTTTCTTTCTGCCCCCATTCCCCCCCTCCCTCAATCCCCCCTCCCGTCCTCCTCCTCCTCCTCCTCCCCCTCCTCCTCCTCCTCCTCCTCCTCCTCCTCCTCCTGCGCCAGCGGCTCCCCCGCTCGGCGTCCCTGCCTCCGTTCCCACTGGCCTCGTCGAGACGGCGAGCGGCCGTCGCCCAGATCAATGCTGGGGTCCGCATCGCTGTCTGCCCGACGCTCGGGGCTGTCGCGTCCAGGGTGCCGCTCGTCGAGGTCCTTGCAGGGCTCGTTTCGATTCCTCCGATTCGATTCGATTCGACTTCGATGGATTCCGATTCCGATTCGATTCGACTTGGGCTTCCGATTTGGATTCCGACTTCTTATTGGAGGCATACTAGCCTGCCGATTTCTGCCGATTCGACTTTTCCCAATTCGGCTGCCCGAAGCTCGGGGCTGTCGCATCCAGGGTGCCGCTCGTCGAGCTCCTTGTCGCTGTCGTCGTCCGCTCCGTCGCCGGGGCCCTCGTGCCCCGCGCTCTCGCCCCCGCGGCCGCGGCCGCGGCACCCGGACCGGCGGGGCGCCCCCTCCCCTGGGGTTAAGTCGGGCCTGTCCCCCTACGGGAGGATTTTCGACGGAAAATGAAAAATACTCAAGAATGGTCAAACAATAGTCCAAAAATAGTCTGGGGACGGGTTTTTGAGTATTTTTTGATCTTTTTGGGGTATTTTTGTTTTTTTATGTTTCGTCGAAAATCCCCCTGTAGGGGGACACGCCCGACATAACCCTAGGGCGCCTGAACGTTTTAGGCAACATGCGGCCCATCTCGATCCTAGAATTTCGATTGAGGCCCCTCCGTTCCATTGTTTTCGTGCCCCTTCCCGTTTCGTTTGCATGCGTTCCTCGGTTTCGCTGGAGCTCCTCGCGAGCGATGCGCCCGCGACGACTCCGCGATGAGCCATGCAATGCTACAATGAGTTCGCGCGGCACAGCACCGTCCATGCAATGATATGCTACGCTGTGCCATATTGTGCTCGGCCCGTTGGGCGATGAGCCGTTGTTATGCTATGCGCCCCGTTGATTGCTCTGAGCTCGTTGAGCTACCCGATGCTATGCTATGCTCGGGCCATTCTGTCGCCCTTGTGCTCCGGACTTGGGTCGGAGGCTCGCCAGCGGACTCCAAGTGAGCATTGTGTTGACAAACACGGCGCGAGCTCTGCGACAGTGTTTCCACAGATCGCGGAGCAGAAATCAGAAAACGAGAGCAATGCGTACCAGCCAAGGCTACCCCAGAATGCAGGGGTGGATCGAGCGAGGACTGACGACGACGACGACGACGACGACGACGACGACGACGGCGATGCTGATGACGACAGTGGTAGCTACGACGACCACGACGGCGACGACGACGACGTCTTGGATTCGTCTTGGGCTTTTGGGGGCTTGGCTAACTGAAATCGCTACCGAGGGCCACCGTGCTCAACGCCAGCGCCATCGGCTCTGCGTTTCTGGCGCCCAGTGGCCTCTCGGCTTCGGCTCCTGCGGGGCTTGTTGGGCGGCGTCTTCCGGATCCTCAGGAACTTGACGTCCTCGACGCCGGGTCCCGGGTCTTCCTCGAGATCTTTCCTCTAGATATCCCGCAGATCTTCCACCAGATGTTTCTCCAGATTTTTCTCCAGATCTTCCTCCAGATCTTATCCAACATTTTCATCCAGATCTTCGCCCAGATCTTCACCAGGATCTTCCTCGAGATCTCTCCCCTATTGTAGAAATTCCCCTGATTTTTCTCAAGATCTTCAGATTTCCCGCCGGTCTTCGTCATCTATTGCTGCAGACCGCCCAGCCTTGCAATCGGCAATGGCTGCCGCGCTGCGCTGAGAACAATTCCGCGAAACTGGATCTCAAGTTCTTGCTGGACGGTTTCTTAGCATAAGCTTTTTATGTGTACTCAGCGCGCGTTTGGCGCGGCTCGCGATTGGCGCGCATTTGGCGCGTCGATTGCTTCGCCGATTGTAACTGACTTGTTTCCTTGATGTCAGAAGCTGCGGCAAAATGTGGGCTATGTTGCGCCATGTTGAATGCTGTAGTGGACTACTGCAGACCATGTTGAACACGTCCCTGGGAGCATCGTGTACGCTTGAGCCCCTCACAGAGGGGGTCCCATGAACACGGGGAGACAGGGATGATGACGAAGACATGGTTTTGGAAGATGCGGCACCTTACACTCCCCCCGCCCAGAGGGTTGGTTGGCTTTGTCGTCGTCGCGCTTGTCTCATTGGTGGTTTGTTCATGTATCCAGTTGTCAGATCTTTGTGTCACTTGCGCGCCCCTCGTGCTGTTGCGCACGAGCGTCACGACCCAGGACAGCCAACACGCGTGTACTTGGTCTGAAAACCTGTCCATGTAACATTCCGTGGGAGACATCTGCGGGCGTATTTTCAGGCAGGTGCGCCAAGCCAGACGCGAATGCGGCCAGGAGGATGCTTCGCCTGTCCTGTCGAGAAGGTACGGGCCGCGGTGGCCGTAAAGCAAGCCACGTGTCGTTTGCCCCATCCGGCCCGAGCCAGGCCCCCATCCCAAACATGCTTCTTTCCTGTTCCGCACCCTTTTTCTTTGCAAGGAAGGTGAAGAGGATGAGGGATGAGGAGGAAGAGGAGGAGGAGGAGGAGGAGGAGGAGGAGGGAGGAGGAGGAGGAGGAGGAGGACGAGGAGGAGGAGGAGGAAGAGGAGGAGGAGGAGGAGGAGAAGAAGACGAAGAAGAAGAAGACGAATAGTACTAATAATATCAATAATAATAAGAAGAAGAATACGCATAATAATATCATTAATAATACAAATATGAAGACGAATACTAATAATAAGAAGAGGAAGACGAGATAATACTCATAATAAGATTAAGAATAACAAGGCGAGTCCTACTAATAATACTACGAATACTAACAAGAAGAAGACGAATACTAAGAATAACAATGGAACTAATAATCATAATAGCACGAAGAAGAAGAAGGAGGAGGGAGGGAGGAGGAGGAGGAGGAGGAGGTGGAGGTGTTCTCCCAACTTGGATTCCTCTGTGTTCTTGAGGGATCCTTTGGATTCTTGAGGCCAGCCCATCAAGGCTGACGAGACTTCCTTGGCACTGCCACAAGTTTGTACCCTGGGCGGGCTGACCTGTTGAGAATCCGCTTGCCCTGCCATACGTTCGTGACTGCGGAAGATTGAAAGTTTTAGAATCGTATGGCCCTGCCACTCGTTCGTGACCTGGGAAGGCTGAAATCGCGAGACTCCTATGCCTTCGCCACAAGTGGTGAGAATCGTTTATTCCTGCCACACTTCAGGCTCCCTCAGGGTTCGCCAGGGTTCCGCAGGACTCTTGAGGGTTTCTCCAGATCCCTCAGGGTTCCTGACGGTATTCTGGATTCGCGGGATGGCCTGGGCAGGCTGAAATGTTGAGGATCAAATGGAACTGCGACAAGTTCGTGACCTGGGAGGGCTGAACTGGCGAGCATCCCATGTCTCTGCCGAACCTGAGCGGAACTGGCGTTCTCAGGCTCCCCGTCTCCCCTTTCAGGTACAGTGTGGAGTTTTCGATCCCCATAGAAGGCCCTTTACCGAAACGCTGTTGGAGAGCATTCCAGTATTGGATCGCCACCCCCAAACAAAAACGGGAAGGAAGGACTCGTTAGTTGGGACTGTACGTGGTTTCACCGTCGCGCATGGTACGCACCCCATGGAGGAAGGATACGGTAGTGAGTCCAAGCTCGGCAACATCAAGAATGTAAGTGCACATTCTTATCGCGCCCCTCCGACGCTGTTCAGGTGAGACGTGGCATTGGCTCGAAAGGCGGACACATCGATATATGTATATATACATATATATGATGCAAGTTTTCAGTCTTGCCTCGTCCCCCACACCCCATGCAAAAGGGATAGGGCATTGGGTCGGAAAACGGACAAGCAAAGCATTCACTTCCACATTCTTCCCACGCCCCCCGGGCTCCATGGAGGGGTGGGGTAGTGGGCCGAAGCACGATGCAGGCTTGCATGCTTGCTTCACCCCCAACCCCCCGCTGTGGAGGGACAGAGGTCGAAGGGCGGACAAACCAATGATGCGCGTTTGCATATTTGTTCCGGCGCCCAAGCCCCGTGGAGAAGGGATAGGGTAGGGGGTCGAACGGCGTGCAACTTGCGCATGTAAATTGCTTCAGCCCGTCAAGCTCTGCGGGGGAGGGATGGGGTAGCCTGTCGACGGACGGACGAGTTTAGAAATCAGGTTCGTCTTTTCCCCAGACAGCTGTGCTGACTGGGGTGCCGTCGTGGTATCAGCGAGCACCGGTCGAGGGAAGTTGAAGCAGAGAGGTCCTCCAACATATTTGGTGGTCCGGCTCGTTTCGCCTGAGACATCCTCCAATCTCTTAGCTCCCAGATGCTGCGCGAGAGGTGTTCCAGCCAGTTTCGCCTGAGACATCCTCGAAACTCTCAGCTCCCAGGTGCCGCGCGAGAGGTGTTCCAGCCAGTTTCGCCTGAGACATCCTCGAAACTCTCAGCTCCGAGATGCCTCGCGAGAGGTGGTCCGGCCGTTTTCGCTTGAGACATCCTCGAAGCTTTGCGCTCCGAGATGCCGCGCGAGAGGTGGTCAGGCCAGTTTCGCTTGAGACATCCTCACAGATCTCTGAGCTCCCAGATGTCGTGCGAGAGGTGGTCCCGCCCGTTTCGCCCGAGAGGGCTCCG